TTAGCCTACGCGAAACATTGTGGCCCATTTGTACTGCAAGGAAAGAGCTGCGGCTCATCCTGAGAAAACCTCTTGCCTCTCTCTCTCTACTAGTAAGTGTGCACGTGCAACGCACGTTTAATACCATGTTTTTTTGTACAATTTGTCTTAATCCCTGCACTTGTAGGGGTAGTTTGACCTGAATTCTGTTCATGTAATCACCAAAATCGAGAAAAAAAACTCATTAATTTCAATTATTAGCATCGCAGATCACATTTTCCAAGCGGAATGTCAGATTAAAGTCGGGCTCAGGGCATTCTTGGGCAAGTTACTAAGCTCGCTCTAGTAAGTCGCGATCCAAAGTGGTGGCAATGTTGAACGAAATCTAAGGATCCAGAGCAGAAGGAAGAGAAGAGACGAGAGCGGAAACCAATAGACGATGAAAGGAAGAGGGGCGGCCATTGATATTCAAGAGGCGGGAAAAGGGAAAAGACCATCTCTCGACGTCCGGTGCATTTTCCACAAGTGGTGGCCGATGATGGATTGGATGCAAGAGCGGCATTAGTAGATAAGCATTCCACGCTTAGGGCACCGTGCCAGTACGTCAGCTTTCTCACAATGAGGCTAAAGTTATGGAGTGTGTCATCATGTTCCCTTTGCTGTGCCGGCACGAGATGGGCATTGCTGAACGAGCTAGTTAGTGAAGTTTGTGATACCCTTTACTTACAAGATCCTGATGTCTCACGTCAACATGTCTGATCTGCTTGCTACTTTCTCCTAGGATAGATCAAAGTTGATAGTTTGACGAATTAAATACGGTACTCAATATCTTTGATCTGCTTGCTACTTTCTCCTAGGATTAGCTGATCGCAAATCTCACATGTTTCCATTCACATTTACATATGCAACAGAAACAAATAGATTCACAACACCTGTACTCATATACGATATCGCTGGCCATTCGAATTCTGCAAAGGATACTTGTACATTTGGCATTATGTTGTAATTTAGCAATGATCATATATAAAATCTGGTTAGCAGAGACCACACTGCAACCCAAAAAGGGAAAGATTACATAATAGTGTGGGAAGAAAGTTTGTATAAAAATAGTAATACAAAATACAATGCTTGTTCTCCTTTATCGTTGACCAGTTCTTGATCAACATAAATCCAATTGCACAAGCTTCAATAGGGGAAACTAATGTTAATCTTGATATATTTGATACCATGTATACACTTCAAAGGTTAGTTACTGCGTCTATAAAAAAAAGTGGCCAGCAGCACAGGTACATAAATTTTCTAGTGATAACAAAGTACATGACCTCGCATACCACAGTCAAAATTGCCTACACACTCTATTGATGCTATAAATCATCATTCTTTGTATTTCCTCAGTACTACACTACTATCTTCCCTATGGCGATTCAATAGTTTAGAACAAAGTTAATCAGCATATTGTCCGTCAGAGTTTGCTCACACGTCAAGAAAAATGTTTTATACAGGAGCATATTGAGCAGGAAATATAATACCTGCAGAGAGCTTCAGTTTCACAATATTTCAGTAAATTTAATTAGGAAGTTGACATTTTTCAGTTTAGTGATAACAGTAAGTGTGGCTTGACATGAACATCAAGTAGTGCAAGTCATACGGATCTTGTCAGCTGCAAACTATACTGAACCTCTATACGTGATAAGAAACAACTTTTGAAACAAAGAGCCCAATATAGTACTCCCTCTGTTCCTTAATATAAGTCTTTTTAAAGATTTCAATATGAATTACATACGAAGCGAAATGAATGAATTTAGTGAGTATATTTGTATCTAGTGACTATTGACATCCGTATGTGTCCGTATTGAAATATCTAAGAAGACTCATATTTAGAAACGGAGGGCGTATATTTGTATCTAGTGACTATTGACAAACTAATTTTTAACTTATTTTCATTTAAAGCTATGATGAGCTGATCACCTAGCTGTATAATTCTTGTATGGTGTGAGAAAAAATAAATGGGGAGAGTCCGACATACACCATATTTGGCGAGTGCCACGCCCTTTGCTCTACTGTGTACCAAACTGAGATTGACCTCAACACACAGCAGCACAAACGTCCATGCTCAGCCTACACCATTAGAATTTCTCAAAAAGGAAATGTGACGCTCTGGAAGAAAATATACATAACCAGACAAGCATAAACTACAACACAATCTAGCATATCGACATTATCTCCCTAGAAGCATTTAAAATCAAGTAAAATTAAATTTGGGTGCAGAATCTGATTACCTGATGTACTCTACAAGCCCATACCTGGTTTGGCAAATCTTCTATACTTTCTTTGCCATGTTGACCATGTCAACCATGCAACTCTAAATTCCAACGACAACAACAATCCAAGATTTGTCCTCGAATAGTTTCAGTCATTACTACAGAATTGTTAGATGATGGGGCTTGAGTTTTCTACTGACTATACAACATAAAGCAAAACAAAGAAAGCCACCCAAAAATAGCTATAGAACAAAATTTCACGCAAACAGTCCGAATCTGATTCAAGAAAGATGTAGTTGTATTGTAAAATAAATTACCATCCAATATAACCTGAGATAGCAGATTGACTTAGTGGCATCTCATCAAGTACCTGCAGGGTGAGGACTATCATTAATCACACAGTTCATTATGAAAGCCTGCTCCTCAAATTGACAAAAAGAGGCCCAATTGTCGTGCATATGGGATCACATATTGAAGCAAAATTGGAAGATATGGCTGCACGCTTCAGTAAAAAAAATGCAAAAACAGTATATAATACCCCTTATAGAGTACAAGAAATATGACAAGAGAAACCAAGGCAAAGTCCACAATAAATATGAACATGCCGTTATGCAGAAAATGTGGAACGTAGCATTACATGAGGTATTTTAATGGAGAAAAACAGGTACCCATGCAGCAATTCTAATCGAGACAATCCTGAAATTTCTGTCATACTATAATTATGTACACGAATTCAAGGCAATTAGGTTAGAAGCGAAGTCAGAAATTTGCTAGTGTGAGCTAGATTGCAGGCAGGAGTTATGGCTTTATGGGATGCATGAAATCTACAAGTTAATTGGAATAGTCTCACTTGCAACATCATACATCACATACACGATGCCATATTACAAAGCATGCAAGCAGTTACCTACAGGTCCGGAGGAACAGTGCGAGGGGGAAGAGGCGTTGCTGACCTGTGCATCTTTCAATTGCTGCATCTCTTCTAGCAGCCGCAGTCCCCTAGGCGAATCGATGCCTCCCGTCGCCCTCCAGCGCCCAAACATGAAGGACGTAGGTGTCCACGTCACCCCGCTTGACACCGATGGATTTCTTCCAGAAAGAGCGGCGTCGGCCTCCAGAAAGAGCGGCCTCGGCCTCGGCAATGAGCGCATCCACGCGCGGCGTCCAGAGCGTGTACCTCGCAGCCGCCTCCTCGTCCCGATCCTGTCAGATCCCATCCCCACACCAACACCTCGCGGCGGAAGAATGCAGCGAGCCAGTGAGGAACAAATTCCACTCGCCGAAGGCGGCCACCAGAGGAGACGCGTGGGGAGCGGGGAAGCGGCAAGCGGGAAGGCCAGATGGGTGGAAGGGGAAGGTGGAAGGAGGACCGGTGCTACGCGTGGGAGGGACGGCAACATTTTCTTGAAGGGCGAACGGATATGGGAGAGATTACGGAATAGACGGACGAGATTAGCGGAGTGGTGGCTGTGTGGGGCCTGATCCAGATCGGGCATGGGAAATTTCGTCCGCTCGGTGGAGCATGGTCAGCCAACAGTAATTGCTACATGCAATCGTGACCCCCGGTCAGATGTATTTAGGCCATTAGATCTCATTAGATGCGACAATCTGGCGGCACAAATTAGCCTAGGTACACATAATGGGGTGGCTTTAAAAAAGAAAGTGTTCAATTGTTTAATAGTAGTATAGATATAGAAAAAAACACAAAAAAGAACGAAGAGATGTTGTCGCAATGAACCCTAGGCAAGTCAAGGGGTCCCCTAAAAAGAAAAGGCAAGGGCGCTCGGCGGTGGGTGGCGGCTGAGGGCCGGCGGCGAGCAGCGGGTGAAAGCCACGCGTCGGCGTTAGGTATTGGCAGAGAAGGCCCAGTGGCAGCCATGACGGCAAGCCCTGGCCCCAGCTCTCCAAGTCTGCAGACCAGTGGGCGGCAGTTCTCAACGGGTAATTCACAAATGTCTGATAGTGTAAAAAAGTTGATTTGTTATTAATGTAGTGTAGTTTCAGTATGTTCCTAATATATTTGCAAACGAAGAAAAGGTTGTTCTCATCGGCAGCCCTGTTGATTTTGTGGGGACTTGCTTTACTAGATACAGCAAATTGAATCACACCTTCAATCCACGCGAGCGACTTTACCTCAACTACGAGCATATTTTCTCTAGCAGATGAGAATACAATTGTACCTCCAATCCGATCGAAATCCTCGAACCTGATAATTGCATTTCCCCCAAGAGATAAGAGCATATTCAAAATCCCAACCTCCCATGTTTATGTCAATTTAGTAGTGACTTATTACTGTGATTTAGCCAGCTGAAGTGGCGGGACCAGGATTTGCCGTCATGGCTGCCTGCGGGGAAAAGTGAGTCTCAATCGTTTGGAACAGCAACAGAACAGTGGTCCCAATTCTAGTTGTTGGCAAATACAGTGAGTGTTGGAATCCTCATGAACCAAAGAAGCTTAGTGGCAGGTCACATTAGATTAAAAAAAGTATATACTGGACACAGTTGCATAAGGATAAAAAGTATATACAGGAAGCATTTAATTGTTTCCTTTCCAAAGAGGACATTCACTTGATACTTCAGAATACAGATATAGAATTCAGAGATAGATCTCACAAACTAGAGCATATGCATGTTCAACTTGAGAAGAAATTAACGTGTTCACTGCAAAGCACACGTACAATTTTTTTTTAAAATGGGCAATGAAAGTACATAAATGACAATTTTGAACATTCAAATTCGATTATACTGCAAATGAGATATGTCATCCTTTCCAATCGGCTCCGAGCTCTTGTATTTTGTTGCTTTCATCTGTTTCGTTCTGAGCAAGCTGTTGACCATTTGTGGTCAATTGCTGCCCCGGAATTGGACCCCATTTTTGGTCTTGTTCTTGCAGTGCTCCATTTGATGGATCCTTGCTGACGCTTCGTTCACCAGCAGCACCCACATTTGGTTCATGTGGTGCTGGTGCTCCCACTCCTTGCCGTTCCACTCCTTGGTCGTCGTCATCGTGTGGGGGTTCTTGGTATGGCCAGCGCTTGCTGCTGTGGACGTTGCAATGAGAAAGAATGACCCATATATGCGTTATGAACTCACTACCTGTTGCAAGGCATTTCTTGTGAGCCGAGGCATTCCATGAGGGGGCTGTGTGTACCAGTATATCGACCCAGACTTCTGCAAAGACCTTCCAGCGAACTACTTCATCTGGGATCTCATGAATCAGAGACCAAGCAAGGCGTGCAGCACTCGCAAGTATCGTATTGGGATGGGTCCTTAATCTGTCCATTTTTTGGTCGTCTTGTTGAGGCACTCCTCGAATCAGCCTTCTGTATATGCTTTGCAGGGTGTCACAGCCTTTCAGGATATCTAAAGCCTCATCGACGGTGTTTCTGAATAAGTCATCGGCAGTTAGGAAACTGTCAGGTAGCAAATCTGGTTCTATAAGAAGCAGATAGGCACAGTAGCGTGATATACTGTTGGCGGCTATATAATTAGCCCGCAGCCACCCTTCAATTCTGTCTTCCTTTATAACATATGGCTGGGAGGAAAAGCAATTGAGAGCAGTCTTGATTGCAGACAGTAACTCAGAAGTGGTTAAGCTTGAGTTGTAGTGCTGGGCAAGCTCAATCTCACAGAGGCTTGTTGCTATATGCCACACAAGAATGCTATGGCACCATGTACCCAGTTTGAAAGTCCACTCGAAGTTGAACTGCTTAACATCAGTCGGCAGGTCTGACTTTAGTGAGTTCTGCTTAAGATCTAATGAGCAAAGTGACTTGAGAACGGCGGCTTTCACATCCTCTGGCAGCTCCGTTGGGCTGCCTACTTTTGCACCTCTAATTTCTTTTGGGACCAAGCCAAGGCTTAACCAGTAAAGAATGTTCCTAGGATTGTGACCAAATGACTGCAAGAATTCATACTGACCGATCTTATTGTGCCAACGGCGCCCAATTCTACATCCAGGTGCGCACAAGATCTGAACCAAGAACTCCCACAGCCACTCTGGAACCCACTTCAGGGTCCTCGAAGTGTATTCGCACAGCAACATCACCTTGGTCCAGTCGGACAACAAGTAGGTGACCACCTTCCAAGACTCCTTCAGCACGATAATCCCCATGAATATCCATGTGATGATCAGGTCAACGTTGACCCTGTGTACGACGTGGGCAATTTCCCCCTGTTTAGGCTTGTAGAGTTTATAAATGTCCCTTCCAAGCCAAGCAATGAGAGCAATGGTCAAGGGAGGGTACCAAGCAAAAATCAGCGGGAAGCCACGCCAAAAAAGGATGGGGTATCTAGTGTAGAAGTAGTCATTGAGGAATGCTAGCTCCAACTCAGCAATTCCGAATGCTCTCTCAGCGTGGTGGTCTATATGTGCAGGTAAACCTCTGCTGAATGATCTCTCACTGTGGTGGCCTATTTGTGCAGGTAAATCTCCGCTGAATGTTCCCTCAGCGTGGTGATGTATTTGTGCAGACAAATCTTCATCCTTCTTGCCAATAATTTCATACATTAATTTTCTGGTGCTTTTAATACTATCGGCTGGCAGGGGTAAGTCGTCAAATCTGCAACGGAGTAGCCGGTATAGTGCAAAGGACAGGCATAGGTCTTTGGTCCATGATGGTTGGACATCCCCTGCATCGTCGTCTGCATGCTGGTTGCTGGGCAGCTGCCAAGTCTTGTCAAGAGTGATGAATACTCCCTCTGACTTCACTTTCAGATAAAATTCATACCCAGGCGCCTGCAGCTGGACCTTCTGCTTCTGATCTCCACAGACCAGGTACTTGTATTTTAACATTGTGGTCGGATCCCCCTCCCTACAAATACCAGCCTCGGTACCCATATATGCTGTCACAAGTGGTGAGCTCCAACCGTGCAAGAAGGAGCCTGAGGCCCAACTGTACGCAACTATTAGGTACATACTTCTCATTTGCTGCATTGCCCAGAGCACCCAGATGGGATGCTTGAACTGACTGTTCTGTGTGCCAATTAAGAAGGCCACCCCTAGAAGTGACATCACCCTAGCGCCCTCGGTAATGTGGCTGTTGTCTTGGTCAGGGATGCCGTATGCCGAGATGAAGCAAGCATTGAACCGCAGGTTGACCAATATTAGCGCCCATATTGAAAACAGATCTTTCTTGAAGGGTGCACTCTGCATCAGCCCAATTGTGTAGATGAATGAGGAATCACTTATGGCGTCGAGGATAAGTAAGAGGTACTTGATGGAGGAGTAGCGGCACCGACGACGGAACATGTCCAAGAATGACATCAGGAGGAAGACAGATGCAATGGCCACAACAAGGAACTCAATTCTCATAAGCACCGCGCTATCACTATCTTCAAAAAGTAAGGACCATTTCACAAGTTCGGTGGCCTTCACCATGTTTTCCCCCTTTGGTTTGCGTGAGCCCCCCTGACAATTATTTTCAAATACTTATTATAAATCAAGTGAATCTGATATTCTTCAAGTACTATTAATATTTGACCAGCTCTAGATCACACATGTTGTTTTATTATTATTTAGTAATAAATAGAAAACTTGCCATTTAAACACAAACCTGCCCCCCTAATGCCATTGTGACCACAAATCCTATTGTAATATGTTTATAGATTCCAAAAAAATGCTAGGAAGTACTTTCCGAGACATATATTTCCTCAAATATCACATCCAAATAATTCTACCATACCAGAAGTCAAAGTTCTAAAAAAATTGACGGTATAAACAATACTAAGTTGGATGGTGAGGTAACTGAGGTTGGGCTGGTTGAACCGAGACCCGAGTCCATGTTTGTGACTACATGGTGTCTTCGCAAAAATCTAAGTCTTATTCCTTTAAAAAGAAACAAAAACCGCACAAGAAGGCGGAAATTTCCACACCAGCACGAGTTTCCACATGAGAGGCATATTTTGGGATAGCACGGGTCCAACAAACTTGGCTAAACATAAAATCATCGGTGATTGTGTATGGGAACTTGGGTTGGTCTTTTGGGCTATTCTTGAGGTAGGTAAACTAGGCTTCCATGTGTATGTCCTGGATCACCTTGACTCTCGACTTCACATGGCATTATTTAATACAGCCTGGAGTCGTATCCTTCCTGAAGGCACCACACGGTACGATAGTGTCTCGATACGATCTAGGGCATGCACGGTTGCCAATGGGAATTTTAATTCCCACTCGGTAACCATGAGTACCCAATCGATTTTCTCATATATCGGCCCCGAACCCTTCCCAACATACCGGCTTCCCATAAATTCAAGTTATCAATTAGAGCGTTGAAGAAGAAAGAACATCAAATAACGTCTGATTTATATCTGCCGACAAGTGTTGCCAATATATGGTCACTACCTTGATGGAATAGCAAATAGGTTTTGCACGCTAATAAGGGTGGGAGTGCCTGCCTTATTATGATCGTTTGGCAGGTAGAGATGATATTGTTTTTATTGGCAAAAATTCTTCTCCGTTGTAGGTATTTTTTCATTGTATGCACTGGCTTTGAACTTGGTTTATGCAACACCCAATGGAGTACTGACCGTTGTTCAAGACGGTGTGTATGCAGTTGGAGTGGGTGGCCAGTGAGGTTTTAACCCAACATGGGTGGCAGCATAATCTTCAGATTGGTCCACCCCATGCTTAGACATAGGCATAGTGTCGGTCTTATAGTGCTTTACTGTTGCCATTATGTCAATTTATTTACTTCTATTCTCAAACATGGTACTTTTGGCTATATGCATCATAGCTATGCAGAGGCTGAGTGTCGTTGATGATGCTTTGTATCCGTTTGGTGCTACATTTTTAGTTAATACAAGCGCCCTTTTACATATATATAAAAATACTAATTCTGTTTGTGTATATACTCCCTTCGTGTGTGAAAAAACGGCTTACATTATGGGACTGAGGAAGTACTTGATTGTCAATAAAGTTTGCTATCAATTTGTTGTAACTTTGATCACTAATATAGGAAAAAGATAGATTGGTGGGTGAATGTAGCAATTGACTTTGATGTATTTCAAGAGGGTAATCATTTACTCCCTCCGTTCCTAAATATAAGTCTTTTTAGAGATTCCAATACAAACTACATACGGATGTATATAGACATATTTTAGAGTGTAGATTCACTCATTTTGCTCCGTATGTAGTCCCTTATTAGAATCTACGAAAATACTTATATTTAGAGCATCTCCAGCCGTTGGCCTCTAGGAGGTGCTAAAAATCGCCCCCTGGGGGCGCACCGGCGCAAACCGCGTGCTGGGGGCGTGATGCTCCCCAGTCGCGGCGCCCATGATTTTTTTTGAAAACTAAAATTCGGCATAAACAAGGCGCAAACAAGGCACAAACAAGGCGCAAACAAGGCACAAACTTCGGCGAGTTCATACATATTTAAAAATATTTTACAAAATAAGAAAAAAAACGCTACTAGGCCCGTCGTCGCCCTCGCCGTTCCTCGCCGCTCGCCGCCCTTGAAGCTCTACATGCCGAGGAGCCTGTAGAACCGCGTGTAGTCGCCGCCGCCGTCGTCGTCGCCTCCTCCGCGGCCGCCGTCCCTGCTGCACCCCTCCCCAGATTGGTGCGGCGGGTTGGATGGTCCGGGGGTGTCCTCGTCCTCGTCGTTGTCGACGATCACCACACCATTCTCGTCCTCGCACCCACGCTTGCGGGCGGCTATCTCCTCCAAGGCTCGGCGCTACCGGACCATCTCGTCGCGGAGGTAGTCGTCTCGCGCCCACTTTAGGAAGGCCTCGTCGGAGAAGCCGCGCCGGACAATGGCCTTGTACTTCGCGGGGAGGCCGGGCTCCACCTTCAGCCTGACGAGGACGAGGCGGCCAGAGGTGGGGGAGGAGTTGGCGATGCGGACGCCGGAGCTGCGGGTGCGCTGGCTGACCGGCGTGTCCCGGGGCTCCGGCTTGACGGGGCGGGGGCAGGGAGAGCCGGACGAGCGCCCGGACAAGGAGGAGGACGCCCCCGGATCCATGCACCTCGGCGTCCACGAGCTCCCACGCCGGCGGGAGAAGGACGGGGGGAGCGGGGTGCTCCAGCCTAGGCGTGTTGTCGCCCTCGATGTACTAGAGGACGGCCTCCAGCGTGCGGCCAGGCACGTCCCACCATCGGCGGCGGCCTTCGGAGTTGAGCCTTCCGGAGGGCACGACACCGTTGGTGGCCTCGAGCTGCTCGGTGTGGCGGCGCCGGAAGTACTGCTCCCAGAGCGGGCTGTCGGGGACGTATCGCGGACCTTTCCTCACCGCCTGCGGCAGAGAGACGCGGATACGCGCGATCTCCGCACGCCGTGCCGCCCCGGTGGGCGTCGGTGGCACCGGGACCCCGCCGGCACTGATCCTCCACGCCCCGGGCACCCGCATGTCCGGCTGGACCGGGTACTCGGCCTCGTAGAGGAACCGAGTTTCGTCCTCGTGAAGGTGGCGGCGGCTGAAGCCGTTCGCCGCCGTGCCATCGCCTGGAAAGCGCTCGGCCATATGGTTGAACTGGAAACGGCGAGAAGAAAGGGAGGAATGGGGGTGTCGAGGAACGAGGGCGTCGGCGGTGGAGAGTTTGTGCGTCACAGGCGCGCTGGTGGTGGCTTATATAGGCGGAGGCGCCGCCCGTACGCGTGGCCGCCGTGTGTACGCGTGGCGGGCGAGGGACGCGCGTCATCCCGTCTTCACTACGCCGCCCGTGAGGCATCAATGGAGGAGGCTGACCGGCTCGGCAGCGCGTGGCAGCTTTGGCATTGATTCCGCCGCGGGAATCAAGGCAATGAGGACGACGAAGCGGCGAAAAAAGCCGAGTCGCTGTCAAGGAGGGCCCGCCATTTCACGCCAAAAACGGTTCGGCTGGCGCCCCCAAGCGCCCCCAGCGCACCGGGTTCGGCCTGGGTCCGCCGGCGTCAGTTTCGGCCCGAGCCGGCGAAAAAAGGGCCTTGGGGGCGCGGCTGGAGATGCTCTTAGGAACGGAGGGAGTACATGTTTAATTATGATATAAAATTACTTCCTTCCTACTTTCTCCATTTACAGTTCGTCTCGGACTATGTACTGGTGCTAGCTGACATGGTATAACAAAATTGGAGTTCATAACTAACTTTCTGTTTTTGTTTTACTTGGATGGTGCTTTTCTCTGAAATAATGAATGGATAAAGGAAACACACAAGCTGCTATATTGGTCCAGCCAAACAAATTTCATGCTTCCCGTACTGACTCCAACAGTATTGGTAATTATGCTAATTTGGTCACCAGTATGATACTAATTGATAGATCAAAGAGAATTAAACCAAGTTGCTCAGTTTATTGGTCGACCTGATCATTTGCCATGTGCACATGCTACTAACCTGCTCATATGCTGTACAGTTCAAAACAGGGTGCTACTTGAGTTCCTGAAACTATTTACGCCATGGCAAGGTTAAGTCTTTTATGAAGCTGGTCTGAGGGAATTAGGTCTGAACCTGAACTACAGTTTAAATATGGTTCTAAAAAAATAAAAATAAAACCTAAGGCAAAGTGTGAACAAATGGTCCTTTTAGGTTCTAGTTCTTCTCCTGGATCTTGAATATGAAGCTCAGCTATTTACTTGACAATTGATCAAGTGTACAGCAGGGTCCTCTTTTTAGGCTTAGCATGGTATACAGCTTAGTCTTTTATTTGTTTACACTTCACACAGCCAAGCATGTAAACCAAAATACTGATCCACAAAGCAAAGTAAGGTAGGAGTACTTCTTATATCTTCAGATATTTGCATGTGGACTTGTTCAGTCAGCAACCATTTATCTATGGTACTGGCAAAGAGTGCACTTGGTGAGAAATACCCATTACAGGTTATGCCCGTGTCGCAAACCATGCATCTCTACAGAACATTGACTAATGTATACTAAGGGTTTGTATCTGTTACGACTTACGACCTGTTATGTACAATGACATGAACCTGAACTTGAATTTGAAAAGGTGCTGCTGCACATATAGTACAGGTACTACTCTAAACTGAAAATAGAACCTACAGTTTTCTTCTCTTTGATCCCATAGTAGTACATTCAGTTAATTTCCTGGACTATGCACTTTATCAAGAAAAGCATGCAAACAAGATTCTTCCTCCATCCGTATTTATATGCACCCCCCTCGAATTGAGCCTAATCTTGACCCAAAATTCGACTAATAAATTATGAGTTATATGACACAAGTATAAATCATTTGGTAAATCATATATTGTAAGTCAAATTTAGGCTCAGTATTTGAGGACTAATATACCTAGATGAAGTACTCGCATGCAAGATCAAGGTGCTTTACTGTATTTTAGCGACGGGCATGCAACTTAACTTGTTAAATCAGCAGAGATGTATAACCATACACCTCAACAAGACCTTTGCTGAAAATAAAAGATGGATTTACTTTGGAGTTTTAGCTTCCATATTTAAGGGCTCTAGACCTGATTCTATTTGCATGATAAGGCGATGCTGCTACATATCTATGCGTAGAAAAACAATCATCGATCCCTCCATCTCCTGTAGCCAAGATCACTATCCCTTACTGAAATCTTAAAGTTTTTATGTCTGTTTCTCATAGTAACATGCTATTCATGGTGCCCTTAAATACAAATACAAGGTTTTACCTGTACTTGATGCTATCTAAATCTGGTTGGGGAGGATGCCTTGACTCCACTCTTCTTGATATTCTTCCTTGCCTCCCTTGGTGCTTTCCTTGTTCTGCTCGCTCTGCTCCGCCTATTTTTTTGCGGGGGAGCTTTGTTCCACCTCTTGCCGAGCTGTGGCTGATTCTGGGCTTCCCCGCCCAGACTCCTTTTCCTCCTCCAGTTTCTCTTGTCCCTCGATGCTTGGCTATCCTAGGTGACCGCCCTGGCTCCTGGGTCTTGGTTCTTGAGGAGAAATGCTAGTAAGATGCTAGCGTGTGAGGTTTGGTCCAGCTAGGCAACAACTCTGCCTGGTCAATTTCTAATAGTACTAGGTATTGTCAGAATAAGGGAAGTGCATGGTTAATAATATTGCCAACGGCTGGCTGTCATATATAGTCACCACTTATAGTCACTCATACAACAAGGTTAGCTATAAGATTACTACTTTTTTCTACCTTCTCTCTATCTCTTTCTTCGTATTTATTGTATTTTCCTAGAAGTACGCATATAGCTAGGCTCTTGCATGAGAGCCCACTTCATTCACTTTTTCATGTTTCTCTCTTCATGGGCAAAATTGCCATGTAAGCGGGGGCGACGGTGTTGGGAAACTGCTGGAGCACGTTTTTTGCGTCAACTTTCTTCTATGCGTGCTTTTTTTGGAGTGAGGGAGCTGCTGGAGATGCTCTAAGCATGCTTTGACAGACCACATATAGCAATGATCAAAGGCATGTATCCACGTCCAGACCAAGCGAATAAAGCTGTAAATTAAAAAAAAAACAAATCGTAAAAGTACATAATTGATGTCGTTGATCTTTTGCTTTCCTCTTGGAACAAGGCACATACATTCTCTTGTCATGGTTGGTAAGATGTCCTATATGCACATCAATGTTCCAGCTGCCTTTTTTTCATGTCGCATCAGTATTAACTTCCTTGGCCGCCTGGTCCGGTGGCGGCCGGCCACAAGATTTGATTGCTGTCCAAATGGAAATGGACAACTAGTTCCTCTCTGCATCGACCTAATTAATGTCCAAACATGTAAATAATTGGACTCTGGACATTTTCAAACAAGGTGTTCCTACTGGCAGTTCTGTGGGATGAATGAACTCTGATTCGGCATGACGACCGGTTAGCTTCCTCCGGCGTCCCCTTCCACGTGACTTCCACAAATCTTCACCTACTCCCCAATCTCTCACCCTCACTCTCTCTGCGTGCGATCCCCTGCTCCCGCACCGCCCATTGCTTTTGCTTCCCAGCCCGCCACCCCCCGCCAGGCACGAGAAGCAGTTCTTGTCAAAGGGAGAAGGGGAGGTACTGGTTGTCTTCTTTTTTTAACTCATATAGTTCTTGTTTTATACTGATATGAGATTATTTCACTCCTGGTCCTAGTGCAGCACACAACATGTTGAATAAAGTATTGTTTTTCAGTTTTCACTAGTTCATACAGCTAGTATGATGTTTAATTTACCTGGTTCCTGACTTCAGGTTCAGGTGGCTGGGAAATCAATTTCTTTCGGACGTCGGTCGAGTGGATTCTGTACGTACTTCAGGTCAGTTTGATGGCTTCCTTGTATATGTTTGTGCCGTCAAGAATTTGTCAAGTTTCTCTGAATTATAGCTTCGCATTTTTGGCAAGCTGCATTCCAATGTTTCTCAACTGCTGCATATATACCATTCTCTTTTTTTGAAACAACGAGCACACCTCGTCGATTTCCATTTAGAGAAACCGTGAGTCTTACAAGTTATAACATGCCAAATAGGAAAGCTAGAAACAGAACAGCCAAAAAAGTGTTCTAACATGGCACGGGCAATTAACCACACAGGGCCCTAATGCCTAACCTGCTGGACATACCATCAGTATCCACACACCCAGCATAGAGCACACCGGACTGAACTTTAAATCTTACGAGTAGCCACTACAGGATATGACTAGATAAAAGAGGAACAAGGGATGAACATGTGATCTCAGATAAGATCACCTCATGGCAATCCTGGGTACATTAGGCGCCCAAACATGCGTCCTGGAGTAAAATCTCCTACATCGCCTTCTTGATCCTCAGCACTCCATCAATGCTTCCACCGCCTGTTCTTGTTTACAAGATTGCCTTGCCCCATTTGTGAGATAACGGCATAGATTAAAAATGACAGCCGCAGGATCATTAGGGAATTGTTGTTCAAACCAGGCTGCATTTGTAGTTTTTCAAATTGTCTAGGAAAGAGCCAGGCTGCATACCATGCCGTTCGTCAATTTCATATCATTATGCATTTGATGTATTTTTTTCTTTCCCTTTTCGTAGGTGGCAGCACATACTAATAAATTTTCCTGGCTCCGCCACTGCATCCAGCTGCTTATCCTTGCAATGGCGTTCAAAATCATCCTAAGTATCGTACACAAGGATGGCGAAATACTCAACCCTATAGTTATTCAATTCGTCGTCGCCCTCACTACAGCGCTCATGGTGACCCGATTTGTGCTGGATGCTTTGCGGCATCGGTCAACAGGCAAGGCCATGAGAATGACTCTGATCGTTATGGACGCAGTAACCCAAGCATTGACCATATACAGTCTTGGGATCATGCAACGCCCCTCCGATAAGGACTACTACTACAAGGTGTGGGCTGTGCTGTTGGTCACCCTCCGTTACAGCGTCAAGATAGGCCGCCCGGCCGGCATCGCCCTGAAGCAAACCCCGTTGGTAGACCTCATGTCCTCCTTCTGGTCTGCCAACATCCTTCGCTCCAAGGCACCCAGGATTCTCAAGGTAACTGGTTGGCTGCTTTGGTCAGTCAACTCTTTACGCATCATCTATGGTTTTATCTCCTCTGAATTTGCCAACGATAGCCACAGAGAGGATTTGAGACTATTAACAGAGTACATGCGTCATGAGCACGAAGCTGGTGGTGGGCGTGATGGTGACCCTGTCACAATGAAGGGGTACCGGTACTTGGTGCGGGGCGAAGCCAAGAAACGGAAGATGAAGAAGAACGAAACCGGCGGACAAGCAAGAGATACTGGTATGGTGGAGGAAACTGGGAATATCAGGAGGCTCTTGCTGGCGTTGAGAGAGGAGCACAAGGAGATCCTGACGCTTGAGAAGATCTGGGAGGAGCCGGCCGATCCGGCTGACGCCCTTGACGAGGAGCTCAAGGACCTTTGCCTCTCCTTTGCACTCTACAAGCTTCTTCGCAGGCGCTTCTTCAACTTCGGCATCCATGAGGCCAAGCTGAAAAGGACAAGACGGCTGGTTCTTGATGGGATCCTCTGTGAGCCCTGCAACTCCGAAAGGGCGTTCCGTGTCAGCGAGGCCGAGTTGTCTTTCCTCAATGACTTCTTCAACAGCAGGCATGCCATAGTATTTGCGAAAGGCTTCCCATTCATCCGGCTCCTGCTATCCACCATTCTGATAGGAGGGATTGGAGGCATGGCGGTTGCTATCTATAGCTTTTCCAAGGTTGGCACAAGAGACGAGCTCGGCAATGTTCATGGTGGAGTAACTTTTACATGGTTTCTCCTGTCGTTTCTTTTTGTAAAAGAGACATGGGAGATCACAACTTACGTGTTCTCAGACTGGACCAAGATAATTTTGTTGTGCCAGTACGTGCAGAAGCCATGGTGGCTGCGAAGCTCGGTGACCAAGGATCTTGTGCGGAAGCTCTGTAGGCTCTCTGTGCCCTGGTTGCCAAGATGGCATGGAAAGGTTGGCCAATGCAACATTCTCTTCCCCTCCTGTTTTGTCTTCCCCACCAATTTGTTCTTTCCAGAACGATGTTCCAGGTACTTTGTACATCTGTCCCAGGAAGTGAAGCATACTGTGATCAACTGTCTCAGAGACTGCTTAGCCGAGGATCCCCCGCGGTTGGACAACTACCTTGAGCGAGCATTTGGCAAAGTCGGGGTAACTGACGGTTTTCGCGCAAATTTCACCGAAGTGGTAAATGGCGTGAAGGATTCTGTGCACATTCTGCTGATTTGGCACATTGCTACATGCTACTGCGAGATTGATCTCGCTGAAAACAGAAAGGTCTCAGCCAGTATGTATTGGAGTGGGCAAGACTTTGGCCGGCGCAAACCTTCGGAAGGTGATTCAGATCTTCTGTGGTCTCAGTACATGATTGCTAGGACATTGTCGCAGTACTGTGCGTATGTGCTCACACTGGTTCCTCCTCTGGTGCCTGGGAACAGCCTAATGGCCAGGTCGGTGCTGATAAAGGTGCGTGAAGAAAAAAGTCGCCTTTTCAACGGAAAATTTAACTCATGTGCTCCTTGTTATCAGTCCACCCAAATGCTTGGACGGCTCAAGAAATATGCATCAGAGGAGATAGAATTGTATAAGAAAAAAGTGGACGGGGGAAAACAGGACGAGGAAAACCAGGATGGGAAAAAAGAGGAAAATCTAGACGACACCATATTGAAGAAGGGGGCAGATCTTGGCAAGAAGCTGGCAGAAGCGTTCAGCGGTGACAAGCCGGAAGATCTGTGGAGGTTCTTGTCAGAGTTCTGGGCAGGATTTGTTATCCACCTGGCTGCATCTACAAGGGCTTCTCAGCACAAGATATTTCTGAGCTCTGGCGGGGAGCTCATGACACATCTCTGGGCGTTGCTAACCCATGCCGGCATCCTAGGGGAGGTCCAGCACGGCGACCAAGACATTGATACAGCGCTAACCCAAGGAGACGTTTACGATCAGAATATGCAGTCCTAGGTGGGAAAATCTGCACTGCCGCTTCGTGTGAAAATGTACGTAGATAAGTTGGGTTCGAAATATGCTTCAGCTGGTGTCTAAGAAGCTATCCGAGGCGACATGCTGGGCGCCTGGGTCAGAAGGATTTGCAATGGGTGACGATCTTCGACTTGCTTGAGGGATCAAAGCTGGAGGTTGCTTGTGTGTTTTGTAAGTTCATCAATTCGTAGTTATTTGTTGCTATTTCCTGCTGTTTGCTGTACGCCTAGTTTTGTTGACTACTCCTTAGATGTAGTTTGCTGTCTTGGGTTAAAAAAGCATCTGACGGTGTGGCCTGTGCACTGGAGATGCAGGTTCGTGAAGAGTCCCAAACTCCTTTTTCTTGAATGGAAATGGGGGTTGTATGTTACCTTTTTCTTTCAAAAAGGAGATCTCCCCGGCCTCTGCGTCAGAACGATGCATACAGTCATCTTATTAACCAAATAAAAAGGTTCCAACAAGGTCTCAAAGTCTTCAACTGGAAAAAGTGAAAACAAGCTCACACAGAGCCAAAATGGGCTAGAAACACAAACTAGCCAAATAAAGGACGCCACAACCGGCTGGCAAAAGAGAGATAGTTAAACTAATTGCCTATCCTATTACATGATCGTCATCCAAACCGGTTGAAGATATCCCGAGCTACCATCTTCCAGCGGATAGATCCAGTAACTAAATGCTCCCTGCCTCCATCGGAGTGAGTAGCGACTATGAACGGATCAATGCCGTGGTTCGGAAAATAACCTGCAAAAATTGAATACGTGATGTTTTGTTAAAAACAAAATCATTTCTGCAATTCCAGATAGTCCAGAGCAAAGTGTATACTCCAACACGAATATGTCGCGCTAAGTCAGGCTCAATCCCATTAAACCATGTCCCAAATAACGTGTTGACAAAATTTGATGGAGTAATATTAAAAGCAATGTGGACCGTCCGCCAAAGAACTTTGGCTAACGGGCAATCAAGAAAAAGGTGCTTGATCGTCTCATCCCGATCATAGAAACTACACCTAGTAGGTCCTGTCCAATTACACTTTATCAGGTTGTCCTTGGTTAAAATAACTTGTTTATGGACAAACCACATAAACACTTTTATTTTCAATGGAACTTTGACAGCTCAAACATGCTTGGAGGTAGGAATGAAGCTAACATCAATATACATTGATTTAACTGTGAATACTCCAGACCTAGTAAGCTTCCAGCGTAATTCATCGGGTTGTTGAGAAAGCTGAACCTCCATCAGTCTCCTAATTAGACGGAGCCATTCTTCCCAACGATTGCCCGCTAGCGACCGTCTGAACTGAATATTAAGGGGGATAGATTCAAATACCGTTGCAACGAACACCTCACGTCGTTGAACAATACGATATAAAGATGAGTATTGAATGGCCAAGGGTGTCTCTCCGAGCCAAGTATCCTCCCAGAAACGTGTACTAGCACCGTTGCCAATAATAAACTTTGTCCTATTAAACAAGGATTGTTTGACTTTCATTAGTCCTTTCCAGAAAGGCGAGTCGGTCGGCTTGACTGTCACCTGGGACAAAGTTTTGGTCTGAAGGTACTTGCTACGAAGGATTTGCGCCCACGTGGCATCAGTCTCACTGGACAGCTTCCACAGCCACTTACTGAGAAGGCATCTATTCTTAACTTCGAGATTCTCAATACCAAGACCCCCTTGGTCTTTCGGTCTACAGATGATATCCCATTTAGCTAGCCGGATTTTCTTTTTAGTTCATCACCCTGCCAAAAGAAACGCGATCAATAGAAATCCAGTCTTTTCTTGACTCCAACTGAGACTGACTTCAAAGAACGACAAGAGAAACATAGGCATACTTGTGAGCACCGAATTTATCAGAATTAATGGGCCTCCGTATGACATGAGCTTGCCCTTCCAGCAACTCAGTTTCTTTTCAAATCGGTCTTCGATGCACTTCCATTCCCTGTTTGTCACACTACAAGAAATATGTCAACTTATGACCCTCACAATTGGCCGCTGAAAGGTCATAGTTTTTCATTTGCGACCTTTTTGTGACCAAAAACAGAAGGTCAAAAGCTGGCAGTCGTAAACTGAAATTAACGACCTTTAACAGAAGGTCGTTGAACCCATGACCTTTTGTTTTGGTCACTGGCTGTCTGCCCAGGCCACGTCGGATCCGACGTGGCAAAATTGCGACCAATTGAATAGGTCACTGACAAGATTCAACCCGGTCCAATTCGACACCTTACATGGGCCAAGCCCACTAATTCAGCCTTTTTATTATTTTTTTCTATCAATTTTTGATCGGCTTCATGGGCCAAGCCCAACAATTCAACCTTTTTATTTCTAGGCCTCATCCATTTCATAGTCCATTTAATTAAGCCTTTTTATGCCTTTTTATACCTTTTTTCATAAATGCACAATATTCCAGTCCACTGTTGTTTAGGCCATAGCCTTTTTAGAGCCCAAATATTATTCGATCCAATAGAACATTCAACCTTTTCATTCACAGATTTCTTTTACACATTTCAACAGCAAACAATCAATAATTCTCACAATTAAATGATCAAATCCAGAAATCACTCAATGAAACTCACAATAGCACATACACGTCTACACAATCCATCAAGTGTTTATACAATCAAAAAGAAATACACATGCACCAAAACATGGTGGCAACATCAACTAAAACTATTGTGCACATCTCCAGGCTTCTTCTGATCATGGTCACAACAGCAGTCACCTCAACAAAATTAGATCCTGATCCGCATAAATTATAAGTAAGATACATTAGAAGTTAAATGATTGCCAATAAAAAAATATCCATTCAAGAGAATAAAAATTACACATAAATGCCCAAATACCTCAGTTCAGTAAACACTAAGCATGGCATAGCAAAACTTCCAAAACTTAACTACAACACATCAACCTGATGATGTTTTACTAAGACATTCAACACACCAACAATACTAGCATACAGGTACCAACACATCTACTAGCTACTAGTGCAGGTCATGCAATGAACATCTACTGGCTACTAGCACAATTGCACAAGCAATAGAAGCAGCAGCAGCTACTAGCACTGCTAGCAGTAACTACTAAGTACTAACTAGTAGCAGCCAATAGCTAGTAGTAGCGAAACTAACACTACAGTAGCAAAACAACAATAGTACAGGCTACAGCTAGAGCATCAACAGCAGCAGTACATCTACATGTAGACTCTAGGGAGCATCAACAACAGCAGTACATCAAATGACACCTTGTTGTGATGTAACAGCATGGTACAACTGACTTGCTTCCAGAACAAAGTGTGGATTATATAGAAGAGTAGAGATCTGTGTCCCTTGGAAGCACATCAAATGTTAAAAATCTGGACTGGTTAAATAATAATTGTATTCTTCTCTACAAGCACATATGAGTAGTTAATAAGTACTGATCCTATCAAGTATGGCAGGCTTGCAACATGGAGATGCATACATGACTGAGCACTAACATATTATGGTATGACCGGGGCTATACCAGTCCAGGACAATGCGTGTTGCATCCAAGAACCAGGTTCTGGATCAGAGCTACATTGATGTTGCACCCAGCAATTTGCAGGCGGCCTGTCGTGAACATGAACATATTATGTCAGGGAAAGCGGATACTTTGTCTAAATAAATACATCTTATTGTAGGAACATTTCGTTGATTCCGTGGCGGAAACGTATAACACAGATGATGATACACTAATACACTGTGCACACTTGAAAATGCCAGAAGAGTTAAAATTATTAAACTGAGAGCAGTCACAGCAACACAACATACTTGAAAATGCGAGATTTCGCATACCTCTATTCCTACGTACTACTACACATAGGTTAACAACTAGGAGAGCAACAGAGCATGCCAAGACTGCAATTGGCCGACTGATTGCTTTAGGTCATAGTGCCAAGAACACTGCTACATGTACAAGTACAACAAAAGAAGAATCTCAGGCCTCTATAATTCGCTAGTTTCTTAGGCAACAAACATCATTGCAAATTTTGATGAAATGCATAGGTCCAGCCGATGATTACACAACAGCAACTACTGCAGACATTGGCTGGAGAAATGCTCATCTTTTTATTCTTTGTAAAAGAAATTTTGAGTTCAAGCAGTAGCACTAGTTACTGACTACACATGTAGGTGCATATGCAGGTGCATACTACAGACTACAGTACAACACCAACTTGACACCCGAGTAGTCCAACTTGATAGGTGGGAGTAACATTTATAGTATCAAGCTTGGACTTGCATCCCACATGTCAATTCTTCTACTACCTAGAAGCTAGAGCATGCATATGCAGGTGGTATAACATAACATAAAGAGCAACGACTTGATAAGTCTGCCCCAATAGTCCAAGTCATGGAAAACCAAATATTTCAACTGATCGAGAAAGACCTTGCAGAAATGGCCTCGTCCACGCCTTTTCTTGGCCCCAAACTGAGGCCTTCCATCATCCACTCGAATTCGCCATTGTTGCTCAATGTATGAAAGATGCCTGCCAGGAGGACGAAATCGAATGAATAAGAACCCCACATAAACAAAGAGGTTGAACAATGACTCTGCAAAGTATATTCACATAAGTTTGATTATGAAGCCAGAGCTAACAATCTAAAAATTCAGAATCATAGTGCCTCATTCGATAAATTATTGTATACACATGAATATTGTAGAGCTTCAAAGATAGGACACATGTGAAATGTATAGTACAATATTGTATACTTGCTGTGTGGATATGTATAATTAACCTTCAGTGTATCGCATCTGGAATACAATTAGACTACTAGTACCTAGAAATCATATGCAACTCTGTTTTTGCTCTAGACCAGCCACAGATCATAAAAGAAATCATAAGTATCTAGTGCATTTTATATAATAAAGCAGCTGCCTGAACAAACAGAAATTCTGCATCTTCACTCTGTAGCAACATTTCATGCCAAATGGTGATATTTACTCTGTAGAAACATTAATATAGGATATCATTT